AGAAATATAGTACTTGACATTGACTACATAAAATTGAAAAACATGACAAAGTATAAGACTGATGACAAACTAGGAAAAATACTTCCAACAAACAGATATGAGAAGCTGAGGGTTAATGTGTATTATGTGAATATTACATTTAAATTAAAACAGAAAGCACCAAAATGTAATCGATAGTTATATGGCAACTCAAAAAAGAACAAATATTGCTGATAAGTTGTATATACCAAGCAACAGAACTTCCAAGTACATGAAACAACAACTGACTAAACTAGAAGAGACAAATTTACAATCATAGTTAGCTACTTCATCTCCACTATCTCAAAAAATGATAAAACTACTAGACAGAAAATCAGTAAGAATTAGAACTGATGAACAACACCATCAAACATGTTATAATTGACATTTTTAGAGCATTTGATCCAACAACAGCAGAATACAAATTCTTTTCAAGTGCCTATAGAACATTCACCAAGATAGGCCTGCATCATAAAACAAACTTCAATATATTTAAAAGAATTTAAATCAGAAAGTCTCCTTTAACAGTAATGGAATAAAACTAGAAATCAAATAACATATTTCTTAATCCATGGATAAAAGAGGGAGCCTCAAAGAAAATAAAAATAAATACATTAAACAGAATGAAAATAAAACAAATAATTTTTGTGCCACACAACTAAAACAGTGCTTAAAGGGAAATTTATAGCACAAAATACTTATATCAGAAAAAATTCTCAAATTAATTATTTAACCTTCCATCTCAAGAAAATAGAAAATATTTGCTGATCAACTGGCATAAAGTTCCAATTAAGCAAGATGAATGTGTTCTGGAGATCTGTTGTAGAGTGTACCTATAGTAAACAGAACTGTCTTGTACACTTAAAACTTTGTTAAGAGGGTAAATCTCATGTTAAGTATTCTTATAATAAAATAAAATTTAAGAAAATAGAAAATAATAGCAAAATAAGCCCAAAGCAAGTAGAAGGAAGAAAATAATAATGCTAAAGGAGCAGAAATTTGTTCATTGCAGTATTATTTACAATTGCCAAGATAGGGAAGCAGCCCCAGTGTCCATCAGTAGATGAGTAGGTAAAACAACTATGGGACATTTACACAATGGAATACTACTTTGCCATAAAAAGAAGAAATTTTCCTTCTTATGGTTGTGTGAGGAGGTGAAGCATGTCTACCAATGGATCCATCTTGGCTGAAAGTCTACGTCTAATGAACTTACATGTTAAAATCTTTGACAAAATATTGGTAAATCATATTCAAATGATATAAATAGAATTTTTCACAAAGACTAAGTGGGATTTATTCCAGGTATGCAAGGCTGCTTCTACACTTGGAAATAAATCAGTATATTCCACCACACCAATGGGCTTGTGAACAAATATCATATGATCCTTTCACTATTGTAAAAAAAAAAATTGGTGGAATCCTATACCCAGTTAGAGAAATTCTCAGCAACATAGGAATAGAGTGGTAATACCTCAACTGATAAAAAGCATGTATAAAAAGCAACGGCTCACACTATACTTCACTGTGGAAGGTTGAGTATTTTCCTCCCAAGATTGGGGAAAAGGTTAGGCTGTGTACTCTCACCCTTACTGTGTAATAATGTGTAGGAAGTAATATTCGGTGTAGTAGGCAAGAAAAGGAAATAAAAAACATAGAGATTGGAAAGAAAAAAATAAATCTTTCCCTATTTGCAGGTAATGTGTGTCTGTGTGTAGGAAATTCTAAGATATTGACATAAACACATGTTCATGGGATTCCAGTTATTACTTCCATCCCCCTGTGCTGCCCTAATGGTTTTCTTTGCAAGTGCTTTAGGTACTAAGAAGCTAGTATCTTGGATGAATTGATACCTAGTAGTGCTTTATGATTACTCACATCATAAAGCTTTAAAGTTTTATGTTTGTTGCTTTAAAGGAAAAGTAAAGACAAGACTGTTGGACCTGTATTGCAGTTCTGTAGTGTCATTTCTTATTTAAAAAATGAGTAATTTGATTACCAGAATTCATTTATTTAAAGGCTAACACCATTCTAATAAAGGCATACATTTCTTTTTAATATTTGTTTCAAGCTCTTTAATTTTTATAAATTAATCTATTCAAATCTCTGCAATAGTTCTTTAAATCAAGCTGACTATTTTATGAACTCTAAACAAATAATTGTGAACTTTTAATATGTTGAGTGCTTTCATTTTAATAACTGGATCTCCATTTGATATTTCACTTGTATAACTCATTTGCAGTCTGAAAAACTTTTTAGTGTCAGTCCCTGATATATATATCGTGGAAAGTTAATTTTGTTGGCATTTTAATATATCTGGATCACAAAGAAAACATCATGAAAATAAATTAAAACTGAATTACCAAAAAAAGAGAAAATTCTACATATACATAAAACATCTTTTAGAACTAGTAAGGAAATTTTGCAAAATTGTAGGATACAAAGTCTATACACAAAAATTAATGATATTCCTATATTCTAGCAATGAAAAATTGGACACAAAAATTAAAAGCATAGTAAAATTTATAGTTACTCCAAAAATAACGAGATGCCTACATATAAATTTAGCAAAATTTCTACAGGATCTGTACATGAAAACTGTAAAACACTTATATATGAAATCAAACAAGACCTAAATAAATGGAGAGACATACTGTATTCATGTATTAGAAGACTCAGCTTAGTAAAGATGTCAGTTCTCCTCAAATTTCCCTATAGGTTTAAAGAAATTCACGTAAAAATCCCAGCAGGATTTTTTATAGCTATATACAATATGATTCTAAAATTTATACTAAAAAGCAAAAGAACTAGGATAGTTAGGAAAAGAAATTAATTTACCTGATTTTTAAGTATTATATAACTTCAGTAATCAAAACTGTGGTATTGGTAGCAGGATAGACACATAGAAAATTCAGAACTATACCTTTATAAGTATGGTTAGCTGATTTTTGACAAAGGAGCAAAAGCAATTCAGTGGAGAATGCATAGTCTTTCAACAAATGCTGGTGGAACACTTGGATAGGCTCAGGAAAAAAGTAAACCTTGACCCAAACCTTACATCTTATATAAAAGATTACTAAAATGATTCATAGATCCAAATGTAGAAAATAAAATTATACAATTTTAAAAGAAAAATTGACTTACATTAAGGTGAGGATTTCTTATGTATAACACCAGAAAAGAAATTATGGATAAATTCATTAAAAACCTTTGATTGCCTAAAGATCCTGTTTGAAAGGATGAAAAGCCAAGTCATTGGCTAAGAAGGAATACTATTGATCACTTATTTCATGAAGGACTTGCATAAATATATTTAGAACTCCCTAAACTCAATAGTAAAATTACCAAGAATCCAAATAGAAAATGGGCATAGGGCTTAAGCAGATATTTTACTATGAATAGCAGATATTCAAATAAAGATGTTCAGCATCATTACTGATTAGAAATTTGTTGGAAGAATATTGACAACTATTAGATATAGATAATATATAACATCTATATGGAAAATATATATAACTACTGGGGAGATTAAAATTAAATCTGTGGTGATATGTCACTTCATAGATATTAGAATGATCAAAATTTTAAAAAATATAAATGAAAAAATTTGTTTTAAAAGTATATAACCAATAAAGGACCTCTTTCTTCTATGGACATTTGTAACAGTGGGAGGTGCTTGAGTTGTAGAGTTTTCTAGAAGAGAGTTATATTCAGTTTGTGCCCTGATTGGTGTGGCTCACTTGGTTGGGTGCCATCCCACAAAAGTAAAAGGTTACCAGTTCAATTCCCAGTCAGGGCACATGCCTGGGTGGTAGGCCAGGTCCTCAGTTGGGGAAGTGTGGGAGGCAACCAAATGATGCTTCTCTCCCTCTCTTTCTCCCTCCCTTCCCCTCTCTCTAAAAATAAATAAAATCCTTTAAAAAATCAATTTGTAACCACAAAACAGTTCTATTATAAGTATTTCTAGTAAATTGCCTAAAGTAAGATTAATAGATTAAGATTCCAGTAATTTGACTAACATTTCACCTCCATAACTTCTTTTATATTTGTGATTTTGTTTGTTTTCTGTAAACTGGGCCTCTCAAATCCTGTAAGTTTTGGCCTCACAGAAACCTGATTGGCATTCACAGACACAAGAAAGTATAAGGAGTAAGGTAAAGCCACTGTGAATTCATTTGGTGTAAAACACTTGCTAGGAAACACTGCTGCTGTTTATAACAGTCTTGAAAATACAGCCTTATACCAGCATACACTTATTACTTATACATCAACTTGTTCTTAAAAAAGTGTGAAGTGACATATAATTGGTTTAGTACAAGATAAAATCTATGTGAGTTCATTGAGGCAGTAGCTTAGTGTTTAACGACATGTGTGGTGATCTCTGGAGTCAGGATTCCAGGGTATAAATACTAGCTTCAGCACATATTATTTGTCACTTAACCTTTTTTCTACCTCAGGTTTCTCATCTGTAAAATGGGAATAATAATAGTGCCTATCTTACAAGAGTTGTTGTGAAAATTATTTAGTACATGTAAAGCATTTAGAAAAGTAACTGACACATAGTAAGTCCTTAGTAAGTGTTAGTTATCATGACTAGCCCTTAATTGTGAATGTTTAAAGATACCGTACTCAAAATCTTCACTTCATTTGAAAGTAAATTAAAATGTTGTTTTTGCCTAATGTACTCCTTTTTTGGTTGATTTTTTTAGATGTAGTAAAGAGATTTTGTAAGAAGTACCAAATAACTTCTAAATATTAAGAACTAAAAAAAGAGAGAAATGTGATGGAAAAACAAACATTATATTTCTTGAATATAATTGTCTTCCAAGAATCTCCCTCAATTTTTTAACTATGTCCTAAATATTTTTATCACTATAAAAATTTATTTCATATTATTAAAAATCTTATTTTAGGCTGTTTTACTTTTTAGAACATATCAAAAAATGTTCCTATTAATCACAGTTTTTGTGTTTGCTTTATAGGTCACCATTTGCTGCTGTCACAGACTATTCAGTTACAAGGAATAATGTCATACAGCTCTGCTTGGAATTGACAACAATTGTGCAACAGGTATTAGCAGACAAACTTTCCTTCTGTTAATTTATTAGCTCTTTCATATTCAATCAGTGATAAGTATTCCTATTTACCAAGAGTTTTAAGATACCGGTTTGGGAGTTTCTCAGTAAAAGACAAGTGGTTCTAAAGAAACCAAATATGTAATAATTCATTGGGAAATTATTCATATAGACCAATAAACAAAGATTGCATTTACTGGAAGATGTAAAATAAACTACTTCTAGAAGCATCATTATAAGATCATAAGACCATTAGCTTCACACTTTCCGTGGGGTTAACTATAATGCCTTTCATAAAATTAAATTGCCTCATTTTTTTTTTTCAAAATTCAAGATAACTTTATTTTTTTTTAGTATTTTATTGTCATTCTATTACAATTGTCCCAATTTTCTCCCCATTGTTCTCCACTGCTCCAGCCACCCCCTGCTCCCACAGTCAATCCCCACCCTATTGTCCATGTCCATGGGTTGGTTATTCATACATATTCCTTGACTAATCCCTTCCCCTTCTTTCTGCCATTATTCCTCTCCCCACTCCCTCGTGGTCACTGTCAGTCTGTTCCATGTTTCCATGACTCTGGTTCTATTTTGCTCATTTGTTTGTTTTGTTCATTGTGTTCCTCTTATAGTGATATCATATGTTATTTATCTTTCACTGCCTAGCTTATTTCACTTAGCATAATATTTGGCAGATCTATCCATGCTGTTGCAAAAGGTAGGAGTCCCTTCTTTCTTTTTGCTGCATATTCCATTGTGTAAATATACACAATGTGAACAGTTTTTTGATCCACTCATTTACTGTTGGGCACTCAGGCTGTTTCCGGCACTTGACTAAATAATAGTAAGTAATGCTGCTATGAATATAGGGGTACCTAGGTTCTATTGAATTGGTGTTTCAGGATTCTTAGGGTATAATCCCAGCAGTGGAATCACTGGATCAAAAGACAGTTCCATTTTTATTTTGTTGAGGAAATTCTATACTGGTTTCCACAGTGGCTGCAATAGTCTGCATTCCCACATACAGTGCACTCAGGTTCCCTTTGTCCACATCCACATCAGCACTTGTTTGTTGATTTGTTTATCATGGCCATTCTGACTGATGTGAGGTAATATCTCATTGTGGTTTTAATTTGCATCTCTTTGATGGCTCGTGATGTTGAGTATATTTCACATGTCTGTGGACCCTCTGTATGCCCTCCTTGGAGAAGTGTCTATTCAGGTCCTTTCCCCATTTTTTAATTGGATTGTTTGTCTTCTGGTGCAGAGTTGTATGAATTCATTATATATTTGGGAGATCAAACCTTTGTTCAAGATATCGTAGGCTAGTATGTTTTCCCATATAGTTGGATCCCTTTTCATTGTGATGATGTTTTCTTTGCCCATGTGGAAGCTTTTTAATTTGATGTAGTCCTATTTATTTATTTTTTCCTCTTATCCCTTGGCCTAGGAGATATGTCAGTGAAAATATTGCTGTGTAGGATATCTGAAATTTTACTGCCTGTATTTTCCTCTGTGACTTTTATGGTGTCACGGCTTCTATTTATGTCTTTTCTCCATCTTGAGTTTATTCTGGTGTGTGGTGTAAGTTGGTGGTCTAGTTTCTTTTTTATTATTATTACACCTGTCCAGATCTCCCAACACCATTTTTTTGAACAGGCTATTTTTACTCCATTTTATGCTCCTGCCCCCTCTGTCAAATATTAATGGACCATAGAGACTTGAGTTTATGTCTGGGCTCTCTATTCTGTTCCATTGATCTATGTGTCTCTTCTTACACTGGTACCAGACTGCTTTGATTATAGTAGCCTTGTAATATAGTTTGATATCAGGTATTATGATCCCTCCAACTTTGTCCTTTCTCAAGATCAATGAGGCTATTCAGGGTCATTTTTGGTTCCATGTGAGTTTTTGAAATATTTGTTGTAGATCTGTGAAATATTCCAATGGTATTTTAATAAGAATTGCACTGAATCTATAGATTGCTTTAGGTAATATGACCATTATGATTATGTAAATTCTTCAAACCCATAAAACAGTATATAGTCCCATTTATTTGTATCTTGGTTAATTTCTTTAATCAGTGTTCTGTAGTTTTCCATGTACAGGTCTTTTACCTCCTTGGTTAAGTTTGTTGTTAGGTACTTTATTTTTCTTGTTGTTAGAGTAAATGGGATTTTTCCTAGTTTCTGTTTCTGATATTTCATTGTTGGTATACAAAAATGCCTTCAATTTCTGCATATTGACTTTGTATCCAGCTGTTTTGCCAGATTCACTTATTACATCAAATAGTTTTTTGGTGGAGCTTATAGGGTTTTCTGTGTACACTATGATGTCATCTGCAAATAATGAGAATTTTACTTCCTTCTTTTCTATTTGAATGCCTTTTATGTCTTCTTCTTGTCTGATTGCTGTACTTAGAACTTCTAGTACTATGTTGAATAAAAGTGGTAAAAGCAGACAGACACCCTTGTCTTGTTTCAGATCTTAAGGGAAAAGCTTTTAGTTTTTGCCCATTGAGTATTATGTTGAGTATGAGGTTATTATTGATAGGTACTTACTATTGCCATGTTTCTCCTTTGTTCCTGGGTTCCTCTCTCTCTCTCTCACTCTTTTACTTCATCATCTTAAAGCAGTCCCTTTAGAATCTCTTTCACTGCTGATTTGGTGGAAGTGTATACTTTAAACCTTCTTTTTTTTCTGGAAAGTTCCTTACTTTGCCTTCAATTTTAAATGAGAGCTTTGCTGGGTAGACTAGTCTTGGTTGCAGGCCTTTGCTCTTCATTACTTGGAATACTTCTTGCCATTCCATTCTAGCTTGTAGTGTTTCTGTTGAGTAATCAACTGATAGCTTATAGGAGCCCCTTTGTATGCTACCAGCTCTTTCTCCCTTGCTGCCTTTAAGATTCTGTCTTTGTCTTTGAATTTTGCCATTTTAATTATAATATGTCCTGGAGTGGGCCTCTTTGGGTTCTTCTTGATTGGAACCCTCTGTGATTCCTGGACCTGCATGACTTTTTATCTCATCAAGTTAGGGAAGTTTTCTGTCTTTTTCAAACAGGCTTTCTATCCCATGCTCCTTTTCTTCTGGTATCCCTGTGATACAAGTATTATTATGTTTCATGTCGTCCTGCAGCTCCCTAAACCCTCTTCATTCTTTTGAGTCATTTTTCACTTTTTTGTTCTGTCTAGAAACTTTTTTCTGCCTTCCAATTCGCTGATTTGATCCTCTGCTTCATCTAGCCTGCTTTTAACTCCTTCTAATGTGTCTTCATTTTAGATATTGTATTCTTCATCTCCTCCTGGCTCTTATTGATAGTTTCTATGTCCTTTTTCATGTTGTGTAGTTCACAGTAAGTTCCTTGTGGCTTCCAAGGAGTTCCTTGTAGTTCTCACTGAACTCCTTGAGCATCCTTATAACCATTATTTTGAATTCAATGTGTGATAGTTTGCTTGCCTCAATTTCATTTAGCACTCTTTTTGGGGATACCTCCTTTCCTTTTGATTATGGGTTGTTTCTTTTTCTCCCCTTTTTACATGACTCTTCTTGTTTGTTTCTGCATATTAGATTGATCTGCTTTGACTCTCTGTCTTCTTGGTGTGACCTTCTGTGGTAGGAGACCTGTGGGACAGGGTGTTACAGTCTCCTTGATCTGAGATTGATGCTCATGGGATGCCCTTTATGCTGTTTATGTGGACTCTCTGGTTGTAATTGGGTTTTGGCTGCTGTTGGGTCATTCTTTGGTGGGTCCTTCCCTCTGGCTGGCTGATTGAGAATCACTCCACCCACCACATCTTGTATGCTGTTGTACAGGTGCTGCCAGAACAAACCCAACAACCCAGGAAAATAAACCCACACCTGCAAAAATAACCCCCACCTGCCACCACATTATAAACAGCAAATGAGCAAATATTAATAAAGGTATAAAGAGATTAAGACTATTATAAGAAAGGAAAATAGAACATGAGATGACTAGCTGAAAGAAAAATTATTTTGACAGGGTAGAGCGAGGAGAAATAATAAGAGTAGAGAATAGAAACAAGGCAAAGAAAGAAAGAAAACAAAATTAGGTCATAAATAAAAAAGGGAGGGAAGAAGGCAGAATAGAGTAAGTAAAGGGAAGTGTATAGTATTAGGTTTAAACAAAAATTTAAAAATATGTAGTAAGAAAAATATGAACCAAATTGGAGGAAAAGATCCACCACACAATATCAACAACAAATGATCAAAAATTGATAAAGGTGGGATGGGAATAAGAGGGAAACAAGAAAGAAAGAAAAGCTTAAGAAATGTCTAGAGGAAAGAAAAGTGATTTTGAGAGGATAGAGGGAGAAAGAATACTAAGAGTGAGGAATGAAAACCAGGCTAAGATGTAGGAAATTTAAAACAAAAAAACAGGGCATGAGTAAAGCAAAATGGAGTAGGAAAGGGGAACAGTAAAATTTAAAATACAAAAACAGTGGAGATCTATAAATAAAATTGAAGAAATGCAACAACAACCATATCCAAAACCAATGAGCAAAGATAATAAAGGTGCACAGAGAACAGGGTATTTTAAGAACAGGACAAAGATTGTGAGATGACTAATGACAAGAAAAATGATTTTGAGAGGCTGGCGGGGGATTAGTAAGAATGTGGAATAGAAACCAGTTGTAGCAAGAGAAAAATGAAATTTAACACAAAAATATGAAGAGGAAGGAAGAAGGTAGAATGGAGTAAGATAAGGGAAGAGCAAAATGTGAGATTTGAAATAAACTGAAATATAAAAACTAGTGACAGAATAGGCACAAGCTTGAAGGAAAAGAAATGAATGTAAAAAAGCTATGCGAGAGAGCAAATAGTCCAAATCACAGAGAAGACCATGATAGAATTCATCTCGGTAGAGTCTAGTGCTTACCATTCTCTTCTCTTTCTGGATCCACCCCTGGTAATGTCAGATGGTGTCCTAGCCTAGCCCTAGGCAGCCTGTTCGAGACTATAAACAATCCACAGTCTGT